TATATATATAATATATAGAGAGAGAGAGAGAGTATTATCTATCACAGTATATTAAGGTACCTCGATCGCTACTCGGGGGTTGGGTTTAAAACAAGAAAATCTATCGTAGGCGAGCAAACTTTTATGATACTCTAGCACCGTAAAAGTTAACAAGAATAAGCGCCTTGCTTGATAGCCGGAAAGAGTCCATATTTCACATTACCCTTGTGTGCACTTGAATTGAGACATATCAGAGTTCCACGTACGACTCTCGTTCTGGTTACCTTTGCCTAATGAGCCCTTCGGAGGAAAAACGATATAAACGATAAGTATTTAAAAAAAGACTCGGCAACTAACATAATCAGCGTTTTTTCACGGTCTTACACAAAAACTTGGTGAAACAACTACAATCAGAAGCAGTACAAAAGAGTAAGGCAACTGTAAAAATTACCAAGATTTACCTCAAAAGAGAATTGTGAACCCAGGGGTAAAGTCATTTGGAAATGAGCCAACCGAGTGTTGCTAGAACCCGCGGTGCTTCCTCGACAGCACGGTTTTCAGCTGCATAAAAAACAAGAAGGCTATTTGAATGTAACATCTCATGCACGTGAACGTCAAAATTTGGAGTGGTGAGATGCGTGATATTAATTCCAAAATTCATCACACGGTCTTGACAGATAGTCAATAAATGAGGTAACGAGAAGCGAACTCTTAGCTTGTGCGCTGTAGGGCCTAAACAACATCCATCTCCAGCCCATGTGCGAAGGTTACGCTGAACCAGATGAACTGAATCCTCGTCTGAACGCAATGGACATCCCTTGTTCAAGAGAGCGGGCCCTACAGGGCATCTGGTACAACCAAAGGTTTATACCACTCAGTGATTCAAATAAAGTTTTAACTTCGATTTAAAATGCACTCAAAGCACTCTTCTACGAAAAAATATATTAAATTGACGGAACGAAGTCGATCAGAACAACTGCATCCAAGATTCGGTTCAAAACTAGACGCCAATACTGAAAACTCCGTTGGCCAACAACTACAACCCACCATGATATCATCCCGTGGCATAAGACTAAAAGCCTTGGTGTAAATTGCCTACCAGACAGGCAGTCGAACTACCGTCAACCAACGTTGATAGGAAATGGGAGTAAACGGTTGGTGTAGCCGATAATGGGCAAAGCCGATAATATGGACAAATTCGGAAGCCTATTCCGGCGGAATCGTAACGCATTTAATAAGCATCACTCCTCGATGTACGAATATTTAGCTTCAGCTATTGGTCAAGAAATCATCAGATGGGCGGAGCATTAAAGTCGACTTCTCAAACGTCGATTTTAGGCTACGACACCAACCTCCTCATCATCATCATCATCA